CAGAGGCTGAAAAGTCGAAAAATCGTGGATGGCTCAAGCAGAGGACACAATAAGACAAGTATGCAAGCTGGAGAAAATTGGGCAAGAAGAGGAGTGAGTCAGAGTACCAGCGGAAAAGTCTGACCTGTGTAGGGTTATTTATGATCACATTGACCCGCTGGTCACTCTCTGCATTCACGGCCCAATGTGATCATGATAGCCAATGCAAAATAGAAAAGCGAAAGCCAATGGAAAATCTTTAGTGCAAGACAGCCATGAATACGACACTAGAGCATCTAGCATGAGAATGGAGGTGGAGGCGGTAATTGCAGCTCTCCGATGGCTAGAGAACAAGATGCATACACATGTCGTAATTGTAACAAACTCTGAAAGCATCCTGAGAAAGGTGAAGAGAGGGATGCTTCGAACAGAGTGGCAAGCTTCACTGGAAAGGTCACAGGTAGTGAGCATACTTTGGATCTTTTCTCCAGGCTATACTGGTGTGGTAGGTAATGAACAGCCAGACAGATTGGGTGGATCTGCACCACTGGGTGGTGAACTGATACATGACAAGACAGATGTGGTCAAGGCCATTTGGGAACAAGCAACCGAATCAGTAGAGAAACAAGATTATTATTGCCTGGAGAGAATCAGGTACCTGGGTGTAACCAGAGGGTCTGGTCGGCTCACTACACTCAGAGGAAAGACAAGACAGACATTTAACCAGTTTCACTACACTCGGAGGAAAGACAAGACAGACATTTAACCAGTTTCACTACACTTAGAGGAAAGACAAGACAGACATATAACCAGTTTTTGACTAGTACCTAAGGACATCCTTTACGGTGAATTAAAGATGGGTAGAAGGTGTCGAGGTAGACCACTGCTACGGTATAAAGATGTGTGCAAGCGGGACATGATTTATACAGGTATTGAGGTTGATTCATGGGAACAAAATGCTATGGTCTGTGTTGTGTGGAGGGGCACATCAGGAAGGGAATGAGAATGAAGGAAGAAATGACTGCAGAAAGGATGAGAGCTGAGCGTCTGAGAAAAAACTGACTAAACATAAATATCGACAACAATGGTCCTGAAATCCCATGCTATCATTATGGAAGACTTTCCTTAACGAGGGCACGTCTTGCTAGTCACACTCGCCATTGCCACTGGCTGTGAGTGTGATGTATGCTGTCCGGGAGTTAGGGACAGCAATTTCTGCCGAGTGTCCAGAGGTGAATGAAAAATGCTTCACCCTTATATATAAAGGGCCCGCTCCTGGGTTCACCGGTAGCCTTTTATAAACACCACGGTTAGGTACCCACCTCTGGGTCATCTATAACCGGCCATAATAATAAACAACTTAGTTATGTGCCCACTCGTTGGGTCACCTATAACTGGCCATAGCTGACTAGAGACGTTGCACACATCGATACGCCTCAACGACACATCCTCGCAGCTGGATCATAAAGAGACGTTGGGCCATCAACGCCTTGTCTCCATTAATGACACTCAACTAGGGCATTCCGAATTATACACCAAATTCTAATGAACCAATCTAAGCTTTCACCAGAATAAATAATACACATAATTAATACTAAAAATCACACACGTCCGAACTCTCTCACAGACTGAGGGGCACTGACTGCATGCGGGCTAACTTTCAGCTCAGCAACTAGTCACGCATTGGTCTTGCGAAACCCGTTAATCCGCTGTTTCTTGCCAAACTCTAAAAACACCCATCTCTCGAATTAACCGTGTGGACCTTTTGCACTCGTCTCTGCCATCATCATCATCATCATCGTCTGGCGCCTTTGCATTCGGCGCAGGCGATCACACCTCCGACCCCTGGTACAATTGAACAGCCAAGTGAGTTTAGCACACACAGACAGATTCCAATGCCTCATAGAGCAGTATAACATTATAGTCAAGAAAGACGGAAAGGTGCCACCCATGTTCTATTAACCCTTTATATATACATTTTAATAATTGTTCAGTAGTGTCTCTTTTAGATCTGTTGTAATTACTCCTTCCGGTCTAGACTCCCTGACATAGAATAGTAAAGTAAAGGACCCTTTTCCACCTTTTTAGGCGTATAGGCCATATAGGGCTAGACATATATTTTATAGACCAATCGGCACAAGATGGGTGGTGTGGTCAGCATCACACCGGCTGCCTTTACTTCCCTCAACTGCACCCGGTACCCAATCAAGCCTGGGTCGAGAAGTCCGGCTACGCCAGGGAGCGAGCCCACGACCTTCCGATCCGTGGCAAGCGTCTAGCCGCTCCGCCACGGCTACTCCCACTGATATAGAATGAGTTAATGAATTTGAAATATACTTACTACAGTGTATCGTATATGAAAAAGCGGTATAATGCGCCCACTTTTAATCTCCAGCGGTTTGTCATCGCATTCATCTAAATGGTAAGGAGCACTGTTGTCACTCCCTGAAAGAAAAAATGTCAGTTTGGTGTAATGCCTCTTCTAATAGCCAATCTATACATGGTTAGTTAGTTAGTTGCGTATCCTTTACAGGACGTTGTAGAACTAACCACAACAGCGCCTAGCTGTTGTGTGGTTTTTCTAGGCAAATTTACGTCTAGTAGTTTGCTAATGTTTCCTGGACGGTCGGCTATCTTGATACCACTGTCGAAACCAACGCAAGGCGCATGGCCCGCAGATGGGATCAAACCCGGATCCCGGCATTACGAAGGGTTCGCATCGACTTAGCCACAGAGCCGACTCTATACGTGGTACTTTCATTATTTTAACATGCCAAGTCAGAACAAGTGAAGAAATCATTCATTTGTAATAACTGGTGGGTATTTAATTTAACTCTCAGATCACCTTCTTTTTGGATATCTTCTTCTTCAATCCTACTAAATGTGCCGCAAAGCGTTGTAGAAATGAGTTAATTGGTTTCCTGTCTTTTGCTAGCTGAGTTATTACCATCATCAATTTCCCCGTCTTCCACTAAGCACTGCGGTCAGGAAGATTTTGCAATCCACTGCTAAATGGGTTTTAAAAGTTTGAGGTTTTTATACAATTGATCAACACCATGGCACACGGGTGTTACCTATAAGTGCTCCGTTCTTCTTTTAACTCGTCTGAGTCTGAAGAAGCTCATCACATAGCACAGGCTTTGTAGCACCGGCGAGGATCCTGATAGGCTAAATAGGTAAAATGGCTATTGTAATTCCGTGTCGATGTAAAAGTTCTCTAATGGCATTAATCCATATTCTCCTAGGGCGACTTTTTGCTTTCACTTAAGATCTTTTCATGTATAGCGCCTGGTAGTTGCTGCATTTTTACAAGACTAAACATGTGACCTTCTGCTTCTTAATGAATCCGCAGCTTAGTTTTGTCCCCAGTCTGTCTGATAGTATCATTTCTAACTCTGTCTCGGATGGTTAAGCTGGCGGTTTTTCTCAGACATTTTACGAAGGTTAGCCTTTGATAATATCAAAGTCTAGCACTGGCAGTACAATGTTGGTGTAAATATGCAGTTTATAATATGTTGTTTGCGCTCATACTTATGTTTGGATGTCTTAATAACGGCGTCAGTTTGTATATAAGTATATACTTCTCGTTACGTTTTCTTGAAATATTCCTCCGAGAATATTTTTTTTTAACTTGCGTTAGACAAGTGTATGTCTGCGATGTGTAAGCATTTTTGCATGTACATTTGAAGGTATGCATTTGTCATTTATGTCTTTCTTTTTTTAATTCATGTTTATACAATAGATTTTGATAAACGAACATTATATGCCTGATACATAAAATGCAACTACCGTATGAAAGATGAAATCTTGGAAGGGTCGAAGGTAAGACGGGCCTGTTTGTTTTGTTTGTAACCCTTTGGAAATAAAGTTTTGGTTCGTTTTTTTCCAAATCAAAAAACTATGAGGCAAAAAGGGTTTTCAGTAACGTATAGGGTAGAATGGGTTAAATATTTCAGCTCTAGATGGTAGTTACTACACACTGTCTTTTCCATAGTTGACATTCATTAGAGTACTAAAACTAACACAGTTATGGACCATAAGGAGTTAAAATAACGGTCGGATTAAAATGGATTATCGTAATATAAGATCTGGTCACAGAAATTTTAAGGACACTGAAAATAAAGAAAAGAAGAAGAAGAAGAAGAAGAAGAAGAAGAAGAAGAAGAAGAAGAAGAAGAAGAAGAAGAAGAAGAAGAAGAAGAAGAAGAAGAAGAAGAAGAAGAAGAAGAAGAGGAAGAAGAAGAAGAAAAGAAGAAGAAGAAGAAGAAGAAGAAGAAGAAGAAGAAGAAGAAGAAGAAGAAGAAGAAGAAGAAGAAGAAGAAGAAGAAGAAGAAGAAGAAGGAGGAGGAGTAGGAGGAGGAGGAGGAGGAGGAGGAGGAGTAGAATAAGGAGAATAAGAAGAAGAAGAAAAAGAAGTACCGCTCGTACTGTTTGTTGTTCAAGTCAGCACACAGTGTCGGTGCTTTATTAGTATTCAACCCCAGATGACACCACAGGACAGTCCAACATTTTAGAGGGTGGTAAGACCGGGTTTCCTGGCTTGCTGATGCTTTTTTTAACGACCCCAAAACATCTAGAACTGGCCCTAAACCCCAACCCACCTACGTGCCACGAGAGAGTGCAGCCTAGGTCCCACGAATACACGCAGCCTATCTACCTGAAATATTAGACTGTCCCGTGACCTGTGGATTTTTCCTGTTTGGTGTAGGATATTATTAAAGCACCCAGTTGTCTGCTATCAAATCGACCTCCTCTGTATGTCGAGACTGTTGAACTGCATTCACCACAACCTATCTGAGCGGCAGACGCCAATTAACAATGAAATAGGGTGTAGAGGATACTTATATTTTTTAATCAAATGCAAATTTACCGGACAGTTTCAGCCCAAACAGTACGCCTTGAACATGAGGACCAGATGTTTTGCTGCAGGAGCCTTGACTTTGTGAAGAAATCCCATTAGATTTGAGAAGGATGTAGAACAGAATTAAAGCAGCCGATATTGAAAACTCTAAGTAAACCATTTCACCAAATGTTTTCCAAGTCCAACTCTGCACTCATGCGTGTATGCGTTCCTGTCAGTTTTTACAATTCAGGTTTCAGAAATGCCAAACTGTTCAAGCGCCGCGGGTATATTAGTAAACAATTTGACTGGAAACAATCAAAACTGACACAAACATGGCTGCAGTCTGCTATAACAGTTACTGTGCAGTTTAGTACAGGCAACTTAACATTGTTTAGCTTCAACGTTTCTTTCTCATGCGCACATTACGCGTGCACACATGCAGATTCAAGAATTACTACTACCTACTACGTCTACCTACTACTACTATTACTACTATTACTACTAGTACTGCTGCTACTGCTACTACTGCTGCTGCTGCTGCTACTACTACTACTACTACTACTACTACTACTACTACTACTACTACTACTACTACTACTACTACTACTACTACTACTACTACTCATCATCATCATGTAGCAGGTCCTTTGCAGAACGTCGCTCTCATCACAGTCTTCCTGAAAGAAACTCGGTCTCTCGCCAGTTCTTCCGGCTCATGCACTTTCACACTCAAGGAGTCACATCATCCGTCGTGGCGCTTGATATGACCAAAATATTTCAGCTTTCGAGAAAGGATGCTGTTTATTAGCCAATCGTTTTTTGATGTTTAGATCTTTCAGAATTTCAGTATTTCTGAGATAGTCCACGACTCACATCCGTATGTAGCCACAGGGAAGATGCATGCTCTCAAAATTCTACTACTAATATTACTTCTTCTTCTTCTTCTTCTTCTTCTTCTTCTTCTTCTTCTTCTTCTTCTTCTTCTTCTTCTTCTTCTTCTTCGTCTTCTTCTTCTTCTTCGTCGTCTTCTTCTTCTTCTTCTTCTTCTTCTTCTTCTTCTTCTTTCTTCTTCTTTCTTCTTCTTCTTTTTCTTCTTCTTCTTCTTCTTTTTCTTCTTCCTCTTCTTCTTCTTCTTCTTCTTTTTCTTCTTCTCCTCCTCCTCCTCCTTTATCTTCTTCTTCTGACCAATCTATCATCTGATATTCTCTAAGTATTCTCAAGCCATTTCAGTCTTTTAGCCATTCATTTACATATATAGAAATGAGATTCGATGATTTGGACAGTTCTTTTAAAATCGGATGATTTGGGTTAGTTAGTTTGTTGGTTTGTTAGTTAGTTGGGTTATTATCATTGCACTCCAGACATGTCCATAGGTGCTCAGAACCTCCCCTCAAAATGAACCCTGAAGTCCGATGGCTCATAGTACTAGTTCTATGTTGATTAACAAGTCTTTTGGTTGTCTGGTGTGCGTCTCCTTTCTTTTTTCTTTTTTTTTTGCTATGCCGATCCTAATTCCCAAGTCTGCCATTCTGGCGACTGATGTGAATTCACTGCCCCCAAAGTCCTCTATCCTTCCCATTTCTCTGAGGGCATTAATAAAATCAACATGATCCATAGGCTGACCGTCGGAGGTGATACCGGATCTAGCCAACCTATCAGCTCTTTCATTTCCATCGACGCCTGTGTGTCCCGGAACAAAAATAAAGGTGACAAAAATAAAGGTTGATTTTGGGTATTTGTTTAGAATGAAGCAAAATTATTTACCAGCACCGGCGTTACCTCTGAGAAAATCTTTTCGAGGACCAGATAATTTCCAAGAAGAGAATGGAATGACGGTAATAACGTTATTGTACCGTGCCATAACCATGGAGACTGATCACGGCCAGTTAATATCGTATTTACCGTACCGCTAAGTTTTAGAAAGTCTATAGAACTGTAAAACCAATAACGGAATGGTCTTATTAGCTACGGGAGCAGCGGCTGTGTAGCGATAGACGCTCCTCTGCGAATTCGAATGTCGTGGGTTCAAATCCGCTGCGCCACGGCGAATTTCCTTGGTTCCATGATAGGTACCGTAAATGTGGGAGGAATGTGGCTTTTCTGCCTACTCCCGTACGTTAACGCGGACCACAAGGAGTTCGTCCCGCCGCTCAGTCCGGTTTAGTCAACTGTTAAGTCGAGAGGATCGAACTCATAGCATCGGGTTTTATCACATAAGGTTAAGTCTCTCTTAGCAAAGGGGTTGGCCGCACTAATTTCTTAGCTCCTGTGACGATCTCCAGGGATCTCCGTAAACCTGCATCCGTGAACTGAACGACGTAGGCGTGAAACGAATCCATGACCATCAAAGGGCGAGGCAAACGGCTTGACCACTTCGCCCCAAAACTCCCAGCGAGAGATTTCCGGTTAACGGAAATCTGTCCTGTTTTTTTTTTTTTTAAATTAACACATAACATTTTCGCGAATGGCTTCTGTGAAAAAGCCACAATGAGAATCGGATCTTTTTTTTTTTTCTTCTTTGATCCCTCTGTTAGAAAACATATAAACAGGCCGGTGGTGGTAGCCATTATGAAAGCTATCGTGCAGTCCATTTCTTCTCGTGTGCCATATGGCTTTGTCTTCATTGTGGTTGGAACAGGTAAGACTGCGTCTCTGTTGTCAGCATACGTCACTGGGATTATACTAGCTTTATCTTAGGGCAAAGAAATACAACATGACAAACTGTTATTGCAGGGCAGATCACATAATTTGCCTTGGCTGGAAGAACGTCTTGGAGAGAAGCTCTAGCTGGCGGAATGAGTGCGTCTCTTCTGCCCCGGCATCTTCTGCAACATGCTTTGTTTCAAACATATTGGCAGTACCTTTCTTTGGAGTTAACAAGGCAGGATGAAAGAGGAATTAGCATGCATGGGCCACACATGGTCTTTTCAGTACTGCACAGGCTTTGTGCTGTTGACATAAATGATACAGGTATTTAGGTGGGAAACTAGTTTGAAAGCAGTTAGACCCATAGGCTTTAGCCTGAGCTTTCATGCCTAGACCTAACTGAAATCTGAGCATGGAATTTACTGATGGACTCTAAGATGAGTCTTATCTCTCCATCTCATGTCATATTATAGTAGACTGTGCTTCTAACCTACCAGGCTAGTGGTCAGGGTTTAATCTCTGAGGAGAGATTTTTTCCTTCTGGCTGATGACTGTGTAACCAACCCAGTCTTGTTAAATATACATTAGATACTTGGTGAGAATGACACTGAGTAAGGGAGTCAGGTGCCACCTTCACAATGAAAGTTTGATGCAGTTGATTTCCAACATACTTTGCCTCTTGTCCAGATTGTAAAACACTTTGAGACTGCTGTTTTCATTTTATCCTATCATTTGTATCATTGTCTGCCTCTCGCCTTTGACTTTTCCCTCCTTGAATAATGGGAAGACAGAAGTAATGGTGGTATCAAAGAAAATAATTATTTTTAAATGTGTAATAAAAGTCAATGTTGTTTTTTTGGGACAAGTACAGAAATAGGCAGATGGAAGATGCATAACTAAGATAAGAAACAGAATAGGACAGGCAAAACCTGCATTTTTTTAAATGAAGAACATCTTGTGCAATATATCTTTGTCATTGAGGGTTAGAAACAGAATTCTTGCTTGCTACATAAGGTTGTTGCGTATCCTCTACAGGACGTTGCAGAACCAACCCTAACAGCCACTGGCTGTTGTGTGGTTTCTCCAGGCAAATTTTCGTCCAGTAGTTTGCCATTGCCTTCTGGACGGTCGGCTTTCTTGATACCACTGTCGAAACCAACTCAATGCGGATTGCCCACAGCTGGGATCGAACCCGGCAGCGAAGTGTTCGCATCGACTTAGCCACAGAGCCGACGCTTGCTACATACATCCAGTTTTAACATATGGCTGTGAGTCCTTGACAATCGATAGGCAGGCCAAACAATTTCTTGAGGCCTCAGTGATGTGGTTTCACAGAAGAATGCTTAAAATACCTTGGACAGCCAAAAAGAGCAGCCAAGAGGTTTTTATAGAGGGGGGAGACAGAAGGAGACAGCTATAATTTTTCAGCCATGTTATAAGAAGAGGGAAAATGGAACATGTGACTACTGGAAAGATCTGTGGAAGGATGGATAGAGGAAGACAATGAGAGAAGATTCTTGACAGTCTTGTTGCATGACATAGAGATGTGTTAGCACATGAACTGATACATGCTGCAGGAGATCGCAGATTGTGGAGAGGCATGATCTCCCACGCCAGTTCAGCAAGGCACCTAATAATAATGATGATGATGCTTTTAAGAGTTACGTATTTTAATGTGACCAAACAAAAGTTTGTTTTTTTTCTTTAACTATTCACAACACTCCATGGTCCTTTACACCCCCCGGGCCCTTACCCAAAACAAGAAGAATTAATTAAGAGCTAATAGAAAAGTATAGCAAGTAATGTAGCTAATTCAATTTAATCTTTTTTCTATTTTATCTCGTCAGAACACAAACAAATTAAATTAAATCAAACATCAGCAGAATAATTATGAGAGATATGCCTTTATTTGTTGAGTAGACTATACATAAACACTATTTTAAAATGCCCATTAAAGTTGTAAGCAAGACAGATATAAATTTGTTAACAATGACAAAGACATTTACCACATATAATATCACTGCATAACTCAAAACTCATGCGCACTTTGGAAGGTGTATAAACTAACTTATAACAAGAGCAGTTGTGAAGTTTCATGGTGTCTAAATAAAATAACAATATATCAATTGTAATCATTATCACCAAGTGCCTTCTTGACTGAGGTGAGCAATCATGCGTCCCCCACAACCTGCAATCTTCAAAGGCATGTATCAGTTCATGTGCTGACAACCCTTCATGTCATGACAAAAGGCTGTAAGAATCTTCTTACACTGTCTTTCTCTTTCTCTTTTCCCAGATATCTTTCCAGTGTTTGTAACATCCTCTAGTTTCCTTCTAATAATTAAATGATTTTATTAGGCAAAGTAATTCACATACAGCATAACAAATCATGACATCAATTAGTCGATTATATTTAAGCCTTCAATTAAAATTGAACTGTTAATGCCTCAGAAGTAAACACATTTTTGGAGGTTGGAATTTCAAATTTTGGAAAACCTGGTAACATGTGATGAAAGAGAGAAGTAAACAGCT